TATGTCGTGGACGCTGCTCAGCAGTTATATCGGGATATATACACAAGTATCAGATCAGGTGGTGGCACGTTCAGAGGGTATTAAATTTCGCGCGGCATAAAGCAGGGGTGTCCTTTATCTGGTGTTCTATTTGCCCTAGCAGCAGATCCTATTTTCAGATGCTTGTACTCTGTGATGACTCCGCTGGCACGGCCATTTGCATTCGCGGACGACATAGGCATTGTTTCCAGTGACCTTGTTCGCACGCTCCCCGACGTGTTGAGAGTGCTCTCGCAGGCCGCGAAGCTGACGGGCTTGGTCTTGAACCCAGGCAAGTGCGCGCTGGTATTCGCTGTGCCATACTCCAGGGGAGAAGTTGTTTGAGATGTTCCGCGGTTCGGGCATCGAAACTAGACTGTATCGGGTCGACCCTTACGGCAAATATCTGTGAGTGTACATCGGCCCGAATGGGCCCACGTTGTCCTGGGACGCTCCTGGGGTCAAATACATCAAGCGAATATAGCACATCAGAGGTCTATCTTTAGGGTTGTGTCAGAATATCATTGCCTACAACTCGCTGGCCTTCTCAGTGCTCAGCTTTGTGGGCCAGCTGTATCAGGTACCGCCAGCGGTGCTGAAAAAGGAAAAAGAAGCACAGCAGCTTCTCGCGTCCGCTCCCAGGCATTCCATTCCAGCAGACATCCTGAGAACCCCATCGGTGCGGTGCTTCCCCCCACGATCCCAGAGACCTCCAGAGGGAATCCAGGGCCAGTATGTATAGGGTCGCATTAAAATCTTGCTGGTTCCCCGAAGTGCGAGGAAGGTTCGCCAGGCTGGAGGATGAGGAGATTGATCGACTTGCAGTTCCGCGCCACACTGAATGGTGTGAATCCAGAATTTGTTATTCCTTGGTTGCCAATTTCAGACAGCTAACTGCCATGCCTATGATGATAGTCGGCTCTGACACTGGCATGCTGCAGAAACAAACGTGAACAACATTCTGAGGCGTAGGCAGGCCCCGACTTTTGCCAACTTAGCTCTCCTCCCTCGTATTCGCCACTTCGACAACACTGCTCAGCTTCCCAAGGCAAATATTGTAGCTATGCGTATCAAGCTTGCTGTCACTAAACTTGCCCCGTTTGTGGGAGCCGCAGTCTTGAAAGGTATTTGTACTAATTCCTGGGCCACCAGTTCCAGGTACCGACAGTGGCGACATGCCTGCCTGTTCGGGTGCCGAGCGTGTGGCGGTGATCACATCCCACACTATTTCGATTGCCCCTGCGCTCTTGAGCCGCTCTGTCAGGTTCTGCCTCACCTTCCTCCCGACTACCTCTCCTGGACGGCCCAGGGCCGCCTGCTGCTCTACAGTTATAAGTTTGCCAACTCCCCTGTCATGTACTCTACTATGCTGGCCCACGATTTGATTTTCAGCACCTTTAATTCGCTCAGGAACCTGAAAAAGATGGGGCCCTGAGTGTATTCACACATTTTACAAAGCGCGCGCGAGGGCAATCTCGAAGCGGAAGCCTCACACTCGTGATCTGCTTCAGCGGTGATGGGGCTTCAGGAGATCTGGTGCTTGAAGGGGCTGCGCCATCGCATCATCATCATCATCAGCATCACCATCATCATCACCATCATCATCTCATCATCATCATCATCATCATCATCTCATCATCATCATCATCATCATCACCATCACCATCACCATCACCATCATCATCATCATCATCATCATCATCATCATCATCATCATCATCATCATCATCATCATCATCACCACCATCATCATCATCATCATCATCATCATCATCATCATCATCATCATCATCATCATCATCGCGGGACACCGCGGGACACCGGCGGGACACCGCGGGGCACCGCGGGCACCGCGGGACACCGCGGGACACCGCGGGACACCGGCGGGACACCGCGCGCCACCGGCCGCCCGGAAGAGACACATTTGGTCCGGCCGCGCCTCAGCCACAGGGACACCGACGGGACACCGGCGGGACACCGGCGGGACACCGCGCGCCACCGGCCGCCCGGTGGAGAATCATTTGGTCCGGCCGCGCCTCAGCCACAGGAGACTTTCCTCTCGCCCGCCCACGCAGCTTCGCCTCGCCCGGGCGCACGGCACGCACGAACACGAAACCGAAATCGATTTCCCGGTAGGGGGGCTCTCCGTTCCACTTCGATCTCACCCCCTCACCTCCGATTGATGCATCCAAGAGGGCCCAAATATTGATATCTCCAACAGGGTCCGAAGAAGCCACACTCATTAATTTCACATGAATGTTGCAATGATTTTCACATTCTCGCCTTCTCGGACTGCCGTCAGCTCGAGACGGCCCACGAGGGCTCAACGATGGCCTACGAGGCATCCAAAACGGCCCCAAGACAGCCCAAAAGAGGGCCTCCTGTGGAACCCAAGACGGCCTGATGAGAAGGCCCCAGGACGGCCCAAGACAGCGATAAGACGGCCGCACGACGGCCCGCACTCGCCCACCTTGCGGCAAAGAGGGCCCCGCGACGGCCCCAGAGAACCCCAAGCCGGCGCAATAGAGCCGCAAGAAGGCCCAACAGGGCCCCAAGGAACCTCTGAGACTGCCTCTCAGGAGACCACGGCAGCCCCAAGACGGCCAAAACGAGTTCCATCATCATCCTCTTCCTCTTCCTCCTCCTTCTTCGCATCGCCGTCCTCCTCCTTCATCTCCACCACCATCACCATCATTCTCATCATCATCATCATCATCATCATCATCATCATCATCATCATCGTCATCATCATCATCATCATCATCATCATCATCATCATCATCATCACCATCACCATCACCATCACCATCACCATCAGTATCAGTATCATCATGATCAGCATCATCATCATCATCATCAGCAGCATCGTCATCATCATCATCATCATCATCATCGTCAGCAGCAGCATCAGCATCATCAGCAACCGCATCAGCATCATCATCAGCACCATCATCAACACCAGCATCAGCATCATCATCATCAGCCTCATCATCATCATCATGATCAGCATGGTCATCATCAACATCCTGATCAGCATCCCGATTATCATCCTCAGACTCTTCAGCATGAGCATGATCACCATCATCCTCGTCCTCGTCCTCATCATCATCATCATCATCATCATCAGCAGCATCCTCATCAGCATCAGCATCACCATCATCACCATCATCATCAGCATCATCATCGGCATCATAACCAGTATTATCATTCTCATCAGTCGCAGCATCATCAGCCTCAGTATCATCAGAAGCACCAGCATCATCATCATCAGCATCAGGAGCAGCCGCTTCATCACCCACATCAGCAGCATCGCCATCATCATCAGCATCGTCATCATCAGCATGATCATCACCATCGTCACCGCCATCATCATGATCATCATCAACATCATCAGCATCAGCAGCATCATCATCATGAACATCATCAGCATACTCGTCATGATCGTCATCATCATCATCATCATCATCATCATCATGAACAACATCATCACATCATCATCATCATGATCAGCATCATCATCATCATCATCATCATCATCATCGGCGTCGGTATGACAGTCCTTTTCAGTATTATCATCAACGTCAGCCTCATCCGCATCATCATCATCATCATCATCATCATCATGAGCATCACCATCATCGTAGTCGGCATCGTCCTCGTCGTCGGCATCAACATGATCGCCAGTACCATCAGCCTCATGATCAGCAAGGATCATCATCGCCATGACCATCAACCATCATCAACACAGGCATCAAAAGGACCACCATCATCACCATCACCATCATCATCGTCAGCAGCATCGTCATCGATCAACGGCATCGTCCTCATCCCAAACATCCTCATAATCCTTATCAGCCTCATTCATTGCCATATCATGGCTCTCCCAAGCCTGGAGACACGGGGTGTTGTCAAACGTGATGGCCTCCCGTGCCCCCTCGAACAGTCGTGCCGCATAATGCTGGGCTGGCACGGTGGCGGGACTTGCCGTAAGTAGCTGGGAAATTATCAAGTGTTGGTTCGTCTCGCATGCTGATTCTCGATCACTTCCAAGCCCGTCCACTATCGATAGAGACATGTGATCCTGCACCTCCTCTTCCTCCACCTTCCCTTCTCGTGTACGATCCAGCGGATGATATCTAAACGTGCACGCGTTGGTATGTTTTACGAGTCTCCATGACCTCGTTAGGCCCCGTTGAGAGAGTAGGACGGGAGAAGATGTGCGTCAGTAGTACGCATGCAGAGATGCGTGCATACAAATCCGTATGTATATATATATATATATATATATATATACTCGAACTGGCACATACACACATGACAGAAACCAAGACCTAGCATTGAGCCCCGCAGCCGCCTGCAAAGAGAGCCCGTCATGGAGAACGAGGGTGCCAGGAAAAGCCCCGAAAAGGGCCGCCCCAGGCGCCAGGTCAGAGAGCAAAAGAAAGGGCCGCGTGCTATGGCTTCTGCGTGCTTCCAGGGGTCGGAAAACAGCCGACTCGACACACCCCGCGCCAGGTCGGAGGACGCCAGCGAGGTCGGGCATGTCCTCTTACAGGCGGATGTTGGACGACAACTTAAACAATCTGCACACCAAACAATAACTCGAACAATTCCAATAAAATGCTGAAACATGATCCCCTGGCTTTTCTTTTCGATTTTGGAACACTCCTCCTGTGAAGGGCCATGCCCGACTTAAGCCTACACCGATTCTGGCCAGGCCAATCCTGGGCCCTGGATCGAGGTGCTGTATAGCGCCTACTCGCCGACCACCGGCCAGGAACTAACCAGACTCGAACTGATCCCAATCCCTAAGATCGGCAAGTCCAAGGCGATGACAATTAAGAATGTGCCCTCAGAAACTGGGGGAATCCCTAAGATCGGCGCCGAGGTACGGTGATGCCAAGCATAAGGATACGGGTGTGTGACACATCATGTGTCTCAATCCGGTAAGACACAACCCGCGTCTAGCTCATCACAGCTGCCTCGCTGACGCCCTCCACGAACATCTCGGAGGGAACCTCTGGCATCCGCAGCTTGCGGGCGCCCTCCTGACCGGGGGGGGGTCTGGCCGCAGCCCGCGAGGGGGGGAGAAAGCATCGTCGCAGTCGGGGGGAGGAGGAGGAGGAGGAGGAGAAGGAGGAGGAGGAGGAGGCGGAGGAGGAGGAGGAGGAGGAGACGGAGGCGGAGGAGGAGGAGGAACAGGAGGAGAGAGGGAGGGGGAGGAGTAGGAACAGGAGGAGGAGGAGGAGGAGGAACAGGAGGAGGAGGAGGAGGAGGAGGGCGAGGGGGCCAAGCCTCCCGAGGAGGCAGGGGGCCATGAGACAATAGCGGCCTTCTCGGGAGCCAGGCCCCTCAAACCTTCTGACAAGGCCATTCCACTTTGAAGGCTGATTCTGCGGGGAGCACGTGCGACGTGGAAAAAATGGCGAGCGTAGAGGGGGGACATCCACGGGCCTCATTGCGAGGCCACCGAGACCACGCTCCCTCGGAACCAGCTGTGCGTCCGAGCGCCGCGACCCCTGCTCAGCAAAAAAAGGATCCTCGCATTCGAGGCCACGGCCCTGGTAAATCCGCCGACCCTGTCGGCGTGTGGCTCCCCTGTCGGCGTGCGCTCAGTCGACGCATCCGTTGTCCTCTTACCCTGCGTCTCCGTCGTCCCCTTTCCCTGCACCCTCCTCTTCAAGCCTGCCAGCGAGGAAAAACCGTAGCAACGTCGTCCTTAGCCCTTTGATCCCTCCCCCGCCGAAGGGGGGGGAATCTGGGGCGGTCCCATGTGGGTCACGGGGGGGTCCCGGGGTGGGGTGGTCAGATACGCATCCGCCCCTGGGCGTCCCGGAGCCCAAAGAAGCGCCAAGACTCGCCAAGAGGGCCCCAAGCAGGCCCAAGAAGAGGACCACGAATCGAAATTTCGAGCTTCCCGCCCCAAGAAGCCCTCGAAGGCCCCAAGAGCCCCTCAAGGGGCCCGAAGAGGCCCCCAAGAGACCCCCACGACGCCCAACCAAGGCCCCAACAGGCCCGAAAACACCCAACATGCCTTTCAACCACAACCCCAGCACGGTGGTGGGAAGGGCCGCAGGGCACAAGGCTCCCTGTCTGTCTCTGCTACGACTCCCTCGGCCCACATGGGGAACATCTCCTTCGCCTTCTCCTGCTCCCTTCCACCTTCATCCCCCTCCTCCTCCTCCTCCTCCTCCTCCTCCTCCTCCTCCTCCTCTTGCTGATCGTATTCGTCGTCGTCGTCTTCAGGGTCGGGGGCACAGGCAGTAAGGCCTTAGCAATATATACCCATATTCCCATTTGTTAATACATATATATATATATATATATATGTATTCTTATCACCCGGGGCCCTCCCCCCCGAAATCAGAACCATCGAATCCCGGGCCCCCGGGACCCTCTGCTGGGTCCGTGGCCCTGGGTCAGAGTTCTGGAAGCCCTTGCTGGGCCGAGGCAACGGGCCCAAATCGGTCAGAAGGGCAGCTGGACACCCCCCCGAAAGCCCCACGAGGCCCCAGACACCCACCAGACGGCCGAAGACGACTCAAAGCAGACCCCCAAGAGGCTTCCAAAACGCAGAAAAAAATGATTGTCCAAGGTTGTTGCATGATCTTGGGAATGCTCTTCTTCGGTCTTCTGGGCGTCCGAGACCGCCTGGGAGGCTCGAAAATCGCCCCGAAACAATCCGAAAGGGCGTCCAGGCAGTCCAAGAGAGCCAAAGAGGCACAACAGGGTTCCAAGATGGCCTACGAGAGCCCCATGACGGATGGCCCCAAGACACCCTCCGAAGCATTCCAAATCGTGACCCTGTCGTTCAGGAAGACCGCGGCTGGAGGCAGGGTGGCCCGAGGAAGACCCCAGAGGCCCCCAGAAGACGCCCAGGAGGCCTCCAGAAGGCCTTAAGCCCTGAAAAACTTCCGTGAGGCCCCTACAGGCTCGCCAAGGAGGAGCCTCCGCAAAAAGAGCTGAGGAGGCTGCGAAAGAATTTGCAGGGTAGGGCGAGCATGAGGAAACAGAAACATGGAATAATAATGACGAATAACATGATTCTAACGGCGATGCCGGAAAAAGGCAACAAGGACTTATCGCTAAAGTGTCTGTTTGGCCTTCCTGCCATTCCCCCTGCACGCCAAACTTCAAGGTCCAAGGTGCATGTCGCAAAGCGCCAATGCAGTCTTGCATGTGAATGTGTATATATATATATATATATATGTACACGAAGCCGCTATCCCCAGAAACAAAACATATGAATCAGCGCCTTCGAGGTCCTGATCCCAAGTCCAAAACAATGGATTGGCACCCCGAGACCACGACCCAACAAAAGAACAAATGGACCCTCGCTTTCCAGGCCACGATCCCGAGAACAACTACGGACCAGTGCCTTTGGGACAACGACCACTAGTTGTTTCACATCCATAAAGAAGAATGGGTTCGCGCCTTCAAGGCGACGACCCCCTGCGGGACCACGATCCCGAGAAAAAAAACATGGAAACGCACCTTCGGGGCCACGATCCTTGACAAAAGACAGATGGATCCGTGCCTACGTGATCACGATCCCTAGCAGAAGCTACGGATCCGCGCCTTTGAGACCACGAGCCCTCGTTAATGAACACTATGGATCCGCATCTTCTAGGCCACGATCCCCGGCAGAACAAATGGTCTTCCCATTCGAGTTGGCGATCCTGCGCAAAATGGCGTGTGGATGATCCGCACTCTCGAGGCCCCGATCCCTCGCAAAACAGCCACGGACTCGCGCCTTCGAGGTCATGACCCTTAGTAACAACTATGGGTCTCCGTCTCTCCGAGGCCACGATGCCTCGCATTAGAAATATTAGCCCGTGCTTTCGAGGCCCGGATCCCCAAAGAAACGCAGCGCCTCCGCGCTGGCAACACCCGCTGGCCACTCGGCCAGCCCATCAACCAGCCAGCCAGCAAGCCAGACCAACCAGTCTCCAACCAACCAGTGCACAAACCATGAGCATCGTTTACCCGATCTCCATCCCCACCAGTGTGGGCTGGGCCCCACTGGCCGATTTATCCCACGAGATGGGGATATAGGCAGTTTCCTTCGGGTTTCGAAGGGTATATCCCCAACTGGGGTGCTGAGATGTTGGGGGTCTGGATGGAGATGGCGATGGGGACAGGGATCGGTTAAGCGATACTGAAACCAGCCTGCAAACCACGGGCCGAGCTGCCACCCTGCCAGCAGTCAGCCAGTCAACGGACCAACCCGGTCGTCAAGCCATGCAGGCAATCCGAGGGCGGGGTGGGTGGGGCTGCGGCAAAGGGCCGCAGAGCCCTCCCGACTGAGGAAAGCGGGAGCTTCGACCTGGGCACGAGCCAACACAGGAGGAGGAGGAGGAGGAGGAGGAGGAGGAGGAGGAGGAAGAGTGCCACAGGACACGCAAGAGCAGGCGCGGCACAGCCTGGGCACTCGTCGGTCGAAAGAAGCGGGTGGCAGACATGAAGCAGGAAGGCGTTGGAAGAGGCTCGGGTTCCGTTCGCCCCCTGACGAGGGGGGGAGAAGGGGAAACCGCTCGACTCCTGAACTATGGGGATCTGGGAACCCAGAAACACCTGCTGTCGACGACTGGCGCGCAGCAGTGACTGTGGTGGGGCAGGGCCCTCTCGCCCCTCTTGCGGTCGCTCGGACGTCCACTCCCCCTGCATTCTCCGGTTCCGCGCGTATTTGTTTTTGTATTGGCCAGATGATCCAGGATGCTCCTCGATGGTCCTCGCCGCGAGCAACTGCACACGTCCGAGCGACACCAAGCCCTCTCTCTCTCTCTCTCTCTCGCGCTCTTCTCTGCTCCTCTGCCCCGCCCGCCTCCCCGGCCCCCTCTCCTGGCCCGACCAACAGGGGGACCCGTCTCTGGGGCCGCTCCTCTCTGCTCCCCTCGGCCCATCCCGGCCCCGTCTCCCCCATCCGCTCGGGCGGCCTTTCGTGGCGTCTGGAGGCTCCGCGGGGGTCGCCCCAGGGCTCCCCCAGGGGACCTCCTGGGCCCCCCAGGGCCCAGCTCGCGAGGATTCTGGGAAGCCATCCTGGGGGCAGGGGAGCCCCCAATCTCCTCTCTCCCCGTGGTTTGCGCATGTGGACATGCTGCTTGCAGAGACCCATGGTACGTCGCAGGGCGTTCCCAGCGAGCTGCCAGAAAGATTGGCCTCGGCGCTTCGCTGTTTGTAGCGGGAATCGCGCCAGAGAGGGCGCCTCCGAATGATGACTTATCAAAATTTGAGAGAATGTGGGCGCCGACGGTGGTGGAACATGTCGCAACAATGCCCGCGTGCCAATGTACGAGGTAAACCTACGTAGGCCTGCAACTCCCGTCATACTTGCCGTATACGGCCTCGGGAGGATGCGAGGCAATGAGGAGGGCACTGCCCATCTCTTGGCACGTGACGAGGGCACGGCGCGTATCCCCTACCGCTGTCGCTGTCAAAACACCGACTGGTGAGTGTGCCCTGTCTCTGTCATTGCACATGTGGCTTCTGTCCATCCATCGACGGCATGGTCCCACGTGATCCCCCCAGAACGCCCCAGGGGAGGGCCATTTTCGACACTCTTCACGAGGATCGTGGCCTCCGAGGGGGGAGCCGCAATCGACCCTCCCCCTGCCGGCCCAAGAGGCCCACAGGGCCCCCAAGACGCTGCCGAGGACCCCAAGAAGCCCCCAAGAGGCCCCCCAAAGCGCTCCAGGGCCGGTGGAATGAGCGAAACGATTAATACATTCACACCATCCCAGACAATCCTTCCTTATCGACCACACCCCACAACCTTTACCCCAAAAAATGTGTGCGCACACTCGTTTAACAAAAACCATCCGTGTTCAAGAATCCCTTGCAACAGATGGGACGAAGTTCACACGCGCGCGTCGTCGGGAATCGCGCTCGCCACGTTCGAACGCCATTGCGCGCGTGAAATCGTAAAGAAAATCGTTCGCCAAAAAAGGAACGGAATGCAGGCTCGCGCGCCGTCGCATGCGCATTCCAAAATCGTCCCAAAACCCGTCGATAGCCCCATGGACACGTTATGGAAGAACACCCTTGCGCG